TTGATATTCTTTGTGGCTGCAGAGGAGTTGCTTCCCTTCTTGTATTCAAACAGCATTACATGCTGAATGTATGTCTCGTCATGTGCCAACACTATAAGGGATTAGAGTATACTAAACTTTACACATTATATAGGCTACATTAACGTGACGTGTAGGTGGTTTGTTTAACTGTTATATGTGATGTACGTTTTTTGGGGGGTGGCTAATGAAAGTGTTCCAAAATGCGACATAAATTTCTTGATGACCTAATACTTTGAATGTTTTATCTGTGTCAAAATAGTTTTCAACATTGGATGTGTAGAGTATGTGTTGGTATGTGCAAGTTGATGAAGCTAGTAGAGAAACAAACAGCTTTTACTGAAGGAAGTGGGTTGTATCAATTTTCTATGTTACCATTTGGATTATGTAATGCATCTGCTACATGTCAACAAGTAATGGAAAATGATCTCTCTTAGACTACCCTGGAATTTCACACTCATTTACTTGGATGATATAATCAAATATAGGACAACTTTTAATGATGGTCTGCTATCAAGTACTGGATAATTGAGAAAATAGAACTTAAAGCTGAATCCTAAGAAGTGTGATTTGTTCCATAAACAGGTAAGTTTCCTAGGACACATATTCAATGAAAAGGAATTATCTAGAGACCAAAGTAAAATTGAATCTTTTCATAAATGGCCAACACTGCAGATCTCTAGTAAGGTAAGATGACTTTACTCTTACTATCATCATTTTGTAAAATCATTGTCTGACATGGCTCAACATTTATAAAAACTAACTGATAAAAGCAAACAATTTTGTTCAACTTCTGATTTTGAAGAAAATTCAACAAACTAAAAGAACTAACCATTATCTTGGTATTAGCATACCCAAATCTCAAAGATCCACAAATTTCCAGTGATTTTGCAGTTGGAGCAGTATTATCACAACATGGAAATATCATACAAATTGGAAAGAGCTACTAAGTGTTGTATGAACCTCAAGTTATTTCTGTCAGTACTTATACATGTGCAAAAGTTAGTGCTCCAGACAAATCATGCAGTATTAAAGTGGCTGATGAGTTTTTGCAATCCAAAAAGACAGACAGCAATATGGTTTCAGAAACTTTATAAGTACACCTTTTACATCACTCATCACCTTGAATGGAACCAAGGAAATGTTGATACATTACCCAAAAAAACCTTGTTACCAAAAGATCTAAACATTGTGAAATCAGAGAAACTCAAGGTAATAAAAACAACCAACCTAATAACAGAGAATAATCCATGATGATACATCAACAGATAAAGAACTAATGTGGTCTAATACTTAGATGAAAGATACTGAGGTAAAAATTCTTCAGCCAATTATTCAGAGAATGTGGATTGGTGTAAAATGATCCTCATGGTATACAAAGACTCCATATAACCAAAAGACAAAGATATAATGGTCACAGTGGGATTCATTTTGCCTACAAAAAGTGGAAGATACTAGAGGCAAGAAATATTGATTACAGTTGGTTCCTTCACAGTCACTATCACACTGTCATTTCCACAACCTTTAAACAGCTGGACAATTTGGTGGTAGAAAACACAGGAATATAAGAGAATGCTTCTGCTGGGTTGGATGTTGAAAATCTATAGAAAATTAATGTAAACCATGCAAAATATGCTGTGAACAAAAAGGTGCATGAACGGATGATTATTGGAAACAACATCAATATTTTGTTGAAGCATCACTTGAGAGAGTTGCTGTCAATGTGACTGACTCTATATCACAGAGTAGCAGTTAGAATAAATAGATCATAGTGTGGTGGACTATTTCACCAAATTGCCAGATGCATATGCAATTCTTAACAAGCACATTTGTCAATGAATTTGTTTCAAGATTTGGGATGTCAATAGAACTTCACTCAGATCAGGGATGAAGCTTTAAATCAACCTTGACTGTTGAGATGTGTGAAATAACTGAGATATAAAAGGCCAGAACAACAGCACTTCATCTACCTTGTTGGAGAGATACAAGTGTACACTTTAAAATCAATTAGCAATTTATGTGAACGTACATTAGAAAACATGGGATCAAGATCTTCCAATCTTATATGAATTATCAAACACATTGTTCCCACACCTTGGGTGGAACCAAATTTCCTGACTTTTCCCTGACCATTTGATCTATGCTTTTAATATATCATTGAACTATTACTTATTTGTGACATTGCAAAACATTATTCCTGTATTATTTAATATACACAAGACTAGCTGTATGTTAAGAATCACAGTTTGCTTAAATGTCATCTTGCAAAATTTCAGTATTATTGGTTATGCTTTTCTCGACTTATTGATACTTCATCAGAACATACACAACAAAGGTGGTTTATCCCTTTGTTTATGATACTGCACACTGATCACACAATAAAGTAAAAAATAAGTGAGAAATACCCCAAAAAAAGTATTAAATCACAAATCAGTATCAAAATAGGTAAGATATCTAATGTAATTGCACACAAAGAGCTTTTATTTTCCATCTATGCTCCATCTTATGATATGATCCTTGTATTTGAATGATTTCTGAATTTGTTTTTTAGGTATCATGTTACTTCCCAAATTTTCTTCATATTACTAATGTTTTTTATTATATCACATCTTTTTTGTTCATTATACCTATATGCACAGAACTTATATATATAGACATTTGTGCACATTATATGTTACATCATACACTTGCCTTTAAGTTCAATTTCTGATAGATAACTAACTTGTATAAACAACAGTATCTTAACACTGTTTAATAATTATCAAAAATCTGAATTACTTGCTCTCTATCAAAGAAAATGATTTCTTTCAAAGTTTTTGATTTGTTATTTATCACTGTAGTTCAAGTATTAAATTTATAAAATCAATTACACCCAAACATTTAGATTTGTCATTTTTCACTAACCAAATAGCTAAACTACTTATTAATTGTACAAAAGTTAGTCCATAAAGAATGGAGGCCAATAATTTGTTTGTAAGAGACTAGGCCACTAATTTTAATTTAATTTCTTTCATTTACTTCTTGAACTGACTTGCTCTTTGATAACCATTTTGTTTGGACAACACATCAGCCCTTTATTTTTAGTACAATATACACATGTAGAGAATATATGTGAACTTGTTTGTTAATATATGTCCACAATGTGTGCAACATAATCTTAAATGTTCTTGCACATTATGTACTTTACATGAGCATTACTAGTAGCATGGTAATATGTAATACTGTTTGTTAGTACATATAACTATGAATCCACATTATAACAGAAATTCTAAGAACTTATGACTGAAAGTTAAGAATGTGCAGCAATATGAAAAACAGGGCTTGTTCTATCCCCACCAGTATATCAGCATGTATGCATCAAGTGGTTTTTATTATAATTCCAGAAAACCTGTTTTTTTCACATAGGAAAAATGTTTACTGATAAGTTCACAAGTGACCTGTAAAGACTATACCTGAAAACCTGTACGACATGCATGTGGTGGCATAAATGATTGATGATGAAAACCATTAGCTTGATGTAAATATGGATTATTTTCTCCAGAATGTGACACAGTTCCTTTCTTGGGTTTCTTTGCAGGTTTTTTTCCAGACTTTAGAGATCCATATCTGGTTCCAATCCATTCCATACCCTCACTATGGTTCTAAAGAATGAATTCAAACGATACAATATAAATGCAATTCACTTAAATTAACATTTTTCTTCCCTGAAAATGTATTTCAGATACCTCTCTGCACCACAAAGAGCTATAACCTTACGCACACTGTCATATAAGTGCCTGCACATGCCACAAGCCTTTAACAAAGCTCCCATCAATACACCTGGTAAATGTATTGTGCCAGTCTATGATGTAATCGTATAAAACTGTGTACAAAATTATGCATAGCGATTGTTTAGAGAGAGAAATAAAAGAAGTATGATGTAGGTTAAACCACTGAAGACAAGTTGTTAAATACAGATAAATATATTTTTTGTAAGTTAAACCACTGAAGACAAGTTGTTAAATACAGATGAATATATTTTTTGTAAGTTAAATCACTGAAGACAAGTTGTTAAATACAGATAAATATATTTTTTGTAAGTTAAACCACTGAAGACAAGTTGTTAAATACAGATAAATATATTTTTTGTAAGTTAAATCACTGAAGACAAGTTGTTAAATACAGATAAATATATTTTT